GGTTGATTTTTGTACACATAGTTTTACTTCTAAACCAGTTTTTCACTTTATTTTCCAGACCCAAGTACATGTATTTTATGTAGCCTTCATTACCACAGTAAGGACACCTGTTGTGTTTGTTTTCCATGACACCATACTTTCCATCATAAACAAACTTCTTGGTGGTCTTTCCATCCCTTGTGAATTCTTTTTCCTCACGACAGAAACAAATGAAGTACTGTTGAGCATCTTCATAGCCCTCTTCTTTCAAAAGTAATTGTACATCATTCCAACTCTTCGGCCATAAAGTACTCAAAATGTCACTATCCACATCATCACCTAAAGATGTAAATAACAATGTCTTTCCATACTCCAAGACATCTTCAAACGTACTCACTGACACTCCACTTTTATGCTTTATTCTCAGTGCCTCAAGAACCGCCTTGATTACTAACTTCTTCATGGGATTCTGGATGGAGTTTGCTTCATCGTCGTCAATCCTATCACTTTGTTGCAGATCTCGTCTCGGTTCAGGGTTACATATACAACCAGTTCCAAATTCGTTTTCCACTGGTTGGTCATATTCTCCAACATCTTCAAAGAATATATCGTCTGAAATGTGTGAATCATTGTCTAAGTCACTGTTAACAACACAAGCAGAATTGGTGGTTGCCAACTGACACGTTTCTTTCCAGTGTCGAAGTTCCGTTTTTCTGTCAGTTGCCCTTCCAATGCACGCAAAGCAAGGGCAGTGTACATGTCTGTACATTTTTTCATTGCAATCGCAACCAGAAATTTCATCTCTGGACCAAGGTATATTCGCTCCTTCTGTAAAATAAGTGCTCATCAGGAAATAAAGTTCGGAAGTTTAATTATATTTTCTCGAGCCACCGAAGGAACCGCCATGTTTGTTTTAAGTAGATACGCCAGCAATTCAGTGGTACAGCGGGCTTCCTTGGCAAATCCAAGCACGACGTGATGTCAGAAAAAAAAGGCGGGAAAACAATCCAATAGGAAATGCCGTAATAATAGTCGATGTAAGCCACAGTTAAGTTTGGCGCGTTTCTTTACCTGCATCTGTCGCTGCCATTTTGCCTTTGCTGTATAACGAGATGGCTGAAGAATTGGAAAGCGCTTCAACAACTAATATATCCCACAAGGAGGAGTCCTCATTGCTACAGAAGATAGAAACCTCATTTGGAAAGGAAATTAAAACAGCTTTCGAAAGTAAGTATATCACGTAGCTTGCACTCGGACGTTTACGTACGTTTTATTTGGGAAGCCTTTAGTACTTGAATTGACAATAATTCAAACATCCCAAACTTTTAACTTTTGCTACTTAGAGGAGGACATCATCGACGATTCCTCAGTTCAAGACTTACTTCGGAGAGAACCAGATGCGCCGATATTTACCAGATTGGGTCTTACTTACGGAAAAGCGGTGAAATTTAGAAAGGAATTTGGTGAGCGTTTGCAGTCCGTACCGTCAAGACCACTGTCTCCGCTTGTCAAACCAACCATGGCAGCTATCGCCAGCTTCACCCCAGAAACGAAACGACTGTATTTGTCAAAGTAAGACATGTTTCTACTGAGTTTATCGTTGGCCTGAAGTTGTACTGGTATCATAACGCTTTCAACATTCTTAGTTTTCAAACTGGAAATCGCACAGGTGTATTTCCTTCCCCTCTTCACAGCACAGTGGCAGTTTACTTGCCACTCATGTAACCCCTCAGTAAGTACAATCCCAATGAAACTTTAGTTTACCTTCCCAATACCTTGCTTGTGTGAATGCTGTAATTTAGAAAGAAATGTAACAAATCACTTACCTAGATAAACAGTGACGTGTAAGAACATTTATTCTTAATATAAGAATTTCTTGCAGAAGAAAGAAGGTTGGGGTTCTTGCAACTGAAAAGTGGGGGCCAGAATTTCCCAAGTTCAACTCTCCACAAATGAAGGCAGAACTTAATGAGTTCTCTGCAAAAATAGCACCAATTTGCAGTATCCCAGAGGTTGGATTCAATGAAGAGGGAATAGCAAAGCACATCCAGGATTTCTGTAATGAGCAGAGACGTTATCTCAAGTTGAAACGCTCCAAGGTACATGTATTACCATTATTATCATCGATATTTGATTACGCTGCACTGTGGAATGATTGGTGGGAGTGTCAGACATTTTATAGACAGACTAAATTGATTGTTGTGAGTAATTTTGAGTTTTCTTGTCTGAGATAGCAATTTCAAAGCTCTGCTAAGAAGGACTGCCTTAATGTGTAATATGAATAAAGATTTTTTTATTTGAAACTCTTTAGTCTGCTAGCTCTGAAGATAATGAAGTAGATGACCAGCCTAAAAAGAAAAAGATTCAACAAAAGGTATGCCTTCATTATTTTTTGGTTGTAAAATTCTAAGATCTGTAACCTTTTTTACAGAAAGGGGACTGGAGGCACTAAGGTCTCCAACGAACTTGTGCTAACTTTGCCTGGAAAAATAGTGTAACCAATAATTGATTACACTATTGGTTAGTGGAAAACTACCATCTAACCTTTGTAATCTGTGACAGTTTTTGTTTAATTTTCAATAATTATACTATGGCAGTGATTAATTTTAATGATGAAATTCTTTTTAGTCTGCCAGCCATGAAGACAGCAAATCAGAGACCCAGCCCCAGCCCACAAAGAAAAAGAACGCACCAAAGGTAACACTAATGCCAAATTAAATTTGGTAGTAATCATTGTTTTGCCCCCACCTACATTAATTTGTCTATGGGTGGAAATTTGTTTTTTAGCCAACTTTAAGATTCTTTTTTATTATCTTATATGGAAAAAGAAGTGGCTAATGGGTAGTGTACTGAGTCTCTGAATCAACCAGCCTGGGTCATTGGGTTGTTTTCTTGGGTAAGACACTAAACTCTCAGTGTCTTTCTCCACCTTGGTACATACATGAATGACAGCAAATTCACTGCTGGGGACAACCCTGCAATGCCTCATCTGGGGTGAGGTAGATATGGTTCTAGTTGCTTAATGCTTCAGAAACCTGGTGTTGCTACAGCAGTGCTGTAGTAAGGATATTAGAGTTTGTGGTCAGCAGTTGCTACCCCTTTTTTGCAGTTTCAGAAAACTTTTCATTTTGTTGTTTCTGCAGGTGGATGAAAATAAAGATAATGACAGAGATTTCAATGATACACAATCAACACTTTCACTAGACACTACTGAAAGTGATAGGGAATCCTCCGGTGATGAAAACTTGTGTAGCCCCCAGCTGTTAAAAGATGTTAATCCAGGGCCGAGACTTCCTGCACTGTGTACATATAACCTAAAGGCTTGTCAGGTGATCTTCAAAGCAGTGTTTGGCAAATCACAAGTTGACAGGGAGGATGTTGTGAAAGTCTTAAAAAAGAAGTTTGTTGTAAAACAAGAAAGGCTTACATCATTAACAATGACCCAGCTGATGGAGGTATTAGCTAAGAAACTTGTAAATCAGAGATACTGTTCAATCAAGGATGGGCCAGAGACAAACATT